TCGGGAGTGCCTTAAAGCAATACGTCGTACAAGTTCTTTTACCAGCAATATTAAGTGTAATTTTGTTTCTTGCTGTTGCACTCCCGATGGGAATTTCACAATGCGAAATATCGATCTGAAGGAACGGTTCCTTGATTGTGCATAAGTTGAAAACAACGGATGACTTGAAAAACTCGTTGGCACCAAACATATAAGCTCTCTCAAATAAATAAAAATGATGTTAAACTTTATATAGCATCGTTTGTGTGTGCATTTTTTCCTTTTTATCCGATGTTAGCAACTGCCATTTCCATTTTCATTCGGACTTGTGTACACGTACATAGCGAAGAAAAATTGTTTAAGAACCAAAAAACGAGCCACTGTTTACAGCGTCAAACGATGAAAATTCGCCAATATCATGCGTAGAACATTAGACATATTTCATAATCTAGCCGCCCGTTTACATGAGGCCATCAAACCACATGCGTACGCAATGATGAACGAGTAAGCAAACGGTGAATAGGGTTTGGTGTGTGTGTATGACTGGTTTCTCTCTCTGCCTTCATTTCAATGATCCAACTAATGTCTCTCCGGTTTCGGCGAAATGAACCCACAATGAAAACCCATAAAGTATTCACATTTATAGCAGTAACATAAAATTGATTATATTTATTTTTTGAAATGTCGTCGTGAGAGAATGGCGAAGAGTGAAAGAGAAAAACAGCCACATGTTCCATTTTTATCTCTATTTACGTGCGAATCGCACAAAACAAATAGCACAAACCAAATAAGTAAATTAAATTAATAAAATATCATTGAACGAAGGTTTTTTCCTTTCTGATGAACAATCGCTTCAATGTCGACGATGATAAACATGCAACGCTGTCGTCGTCGCCATCTTCTTTGTTTTGTTTGTTAAATATTTAAAAACAAACCATACTCAACAATGCGCCAGCATTTTTATTTAATTTAAAATTGAATTCAAAATTTACCTGTAAAGGATTTTATATGCAAATGATTTCTTTTCTTTTTCTTCGTTATCTAAATTGAAATTTTAACCTTCACCAAAAAAAAAACACTATGCAGCAGGCCGATGAACTGTATGTTCAATGTATCTGATTTTGCTATCGATTTGGGTTACACGTCTTGGGCAATTTTATTTTTATTCGATTGAATTTCTCTTTTTTACTTTTCCGCGCACATAGTGTAAGGTGAAAAGTATTGTAATCGGTCAAAATTTTGAAAACTTCAGAAACATGTTTTCTGGACGTTTCTGAGGTACGTTGTACGTCGTACGCAAAATTTGTTAGCAAGATTGCGCTCATCGTATAAACTTTATTCAAAATCTGACTTAACAGGATGATTGGGGGTCGCGAGGAATAGAAATCATTAGATTTTGAGCGACTTTGGTTAATGGAAAAAAATGTCATGCCTGGAGTGATACCTATGAAAAAGAGAATCCGAGATTAGTTTTGAGATACAATCAATTATTGATACAGTTTCCTTGAAAAAACCGCAAAAAAATTGAATTTTTGTATGGGATCCATGCCTGTATGCTACCTTAATGACGTGAAACTTTGCACAGACTATTTTTTAAATAATTAAATAATAATTTCACAAAAAAAATAACATTCTGAAAGTTTGAAGAGATTCAATTAAAATTAGGGGTACCTCCCATACAAAATTTTCAATTTTGGCTCAGAAACGAATATTTTGTATGGGAGATACTCTTAATTTTGGTTGAAATTTCTCCAAACCCTGCGAATGGTATTTTTTTGTGAAAAAAATAACTTGTACAAAGTTTAACGGCATTAAGGTAGCATATAGACAATGCCAAGGTTTGAACATATTTTTTGGTCTCGAACTTTACGCCGGTTGAAAGGCTTGAAAAATCGAACAAATATTATTTTGAACTTGCTTAATAAAATACGCAACCACCACCATGCGGAAAAGTTCGTCTTACTCTCGTAAGACTCTTTATTTTATCCCTGGATTTCAATCGACCCGAATTGCATTTTGCCACAATTCACAGTGGGCACATCGTTTACACAACATAGACTCATTTGACAATACCATATCAAGTGGACCTTTTCATATGGCAAATAAAATACAATATTTGTTTGGAAAAATTGATAGAATAGAAGCCGCCAAAGAAGAGAAAACTCAATGGTTATGACATTGTCTTGCAAAAAAAGTTGACGAAAAAATGGAAATAAAAGAAAAACTGTGGGAAGTTTATGTTTTGTGCGTTTGAATGAAATATTCATTTAACGTCAATGAGTCAATGTTTGAATAAAGAAAAATCAAGATAAACATACAAGCAAAACCAAGGGAGAGATAGCAAGACTCTTGTTGCAAGACCGACTGAGAAATGGATACATAGGGAATGGCATTTTAGGGAGAGGGAAGAAAGGGAAAAGAAACAAACCATGTATGAATCGATTCCCAAACCTCCACAAAAAAGTATGAGAATATTTATTTAAATCGCTTCCCTAATGGATAATATTACTTTCATAGAGCCGCTTATTGTTCCAATTCGGAACTATACGAATTTGATATATCACGTCAAAAATCCAAAAGCATTCAGGATGCTTTGTGCTATAGTGATTTATGGTAAGTCATAAAACTCATGGCGAAAACAAAAGCGTGAATGCCTACAATACACCAGTACCGCCACTTGTTGCATCCAAATCATTTCTTAGAAATGTGTTTTATTTTTACAGAAATTCCATTTTAAAACGAGATCTTTTACGATGACAGAAGTGATTGAATATAAATAGATGTTATCCAGGATTTTTTTCGCTTTAAAAATTCTTATACATGTGTATGTATTTATTTTGTTCCTGTATAACGGTAATTTGGGGGCGAATCCAATGGAAATGGATTAGTGTTGAATCTTTAAAAAAAATTCTCTCCGTGATTGCATGGAAACCAGCAGATGGATTGAAGCAGATGCCACCACTGGCTAGACTTAAGTCCACTTGTTCGTGTCGCTGCAAAAATATGAAAAAAAAAGAACCACAGTCGTTAAATAATAACATGTTGAATGCGAAAACAAATTATACATAGCCTACAGCTATTTTTTATTTCAGGAAAAACAAGGCAATATTCTTCATGTTTCGATTTAAGTCCAAAGTAATATTCCTCAAGTATGAAAGTATATATTTATTCGAATGTACCGAGTATCGTTTGTGACCGTAGAAAATTCTTGCAAAGAAATTAAACGAGGAAAAAAGATAAAAAAACGTTAGACTCGAGCTTACGTAAAACCTTCGTTGTCGTCGTCACAATAATAAGGCCTAAAAAATTGGATCAGATGCAATAAGACGAATGCAAAAAATACCATCCAAGCAAATTGAAATTGACAAAATAAGAACACAAGAAAAAACCAATTGCTATTGAAATCGAAATAAATAAAAAAAAAACCATCGAGTGTCAATTCCATCCCTTTCGCAATAATTGCCATACTAAAATTAATCCCAAAACATTATGCACTGACTGCTTATGACAGCTCTGTTGATTCACTGCTGGTTTGCTTGTTTTTCTTTCTTTTTCGCTTTCTTCAGCTCGAGATAAACGTAAGCATTGATTACTGTCCAAAATGACATGAAAATTAGCCCACCATCAAAATGTCAATTCCAATTGGACGCTCATTTTACAAATTGCAAGGATTGAAGTTACATTCCGCAACAAATTATATCAACTTATCTCAGCAGCTAAAACGATGTATAACAAGTAATTTGTAATTGAAATCTCACTAAAACTGAAAGGGGGGTGCAAACACAATCATTCGATCGATTGCGTGGAAAATTGCAAAACAGCAGGCGATTTCTTGTTGGAGTCAGTGGATTTAAATTACATAAGAAACAATAGCATTTTAATAAGGCCACCGTTATTCGGTGTATTTTTATTGACAGGAAATTGCCATTTCCATTATTAGAATACGGCAATTTTACCTCATCCAGCCCATCATCGTTGGCAGGCATAACCATTCTATTCAATTAGAAATTTCAACCAAACGTGGTAAATAAATACAAACAATTTATTTCTAATAATTTCTGAATATCAATATTTTATTTTATATAGATATTGTAAAACATGAATGTATAAATTGTATAAGTGAGAAAAAAGAAAATAAAAGTAAAAAAAAAACGATTTTTTCAAGGATTAAGAATAAAATGGCTTACATGCAAATTGATGAAATAAAATGACGAAAAATATTTCTTTTCTTCGAAATTTAGTTCCAATAAAATATGTTTAATTATTTTAATTTTACTATTTTCAATAAAGAAAGCATTTAATGTATGTGTGTGTAAATGTGCGTCCAATTTTTAGCATTTTTTTTGTATTTGTATCAAAACAAGGAGTCTTTTACATAAAAAAAATAGCCAGCATTTTGATTTTGATGGTAAACAAAAGAAAAAATTAATCCACAGAGTTTGCATGTTCTAAAATCATTTGCGATCATTGAAAGAATGTGATGGTATTTATCTTTGTGCTGTCGCTGTTTTCACATCAGATATATAAGCCATTCGTACGCGTCTCCTCTCACCGTGTGTAAGAAATAAAAATCATTCTTAATGCTAGTAATAAATCAAAAAACATGTTGTTAATATTATATTCTTAAAGATAAACTTCGCAAATGAAGACCAAACGATTATTTAATTATTGCTGAATAAATCTTGTCTCTCTATTGTTACTTTTTTGTTATTGATTTTTTTTTCTTGATGTAATTGCTACAGATAATTAATTCTTAAATCATTACTTTCTCCAAATATACGTGTTCACCGTCTCGTGCATGTGTACGAAAAAAAAAATAGAATTTAAATTGTGCACAGATGAGTCGATGCATATATTGGGATGCCACCAACTTAAGCTACCGATACTACTAACAATGCAATTTTCATTTGTATATTTGTCGTGTGATTAGTCAAGTAATCCTTTTGCCTTGAAGAGATCACGAAGAAGGCTTTTGATGTACTTAACTTCACGGCTAACATCTTTGTACTGCGATTTCATTCTGTCGTTTTGTTTGATCAATTCACGTTCTTCGTCCAGCAAGATTTCAATTTCGGCCTTCTTCTTGAGGCGATAACGATTGGCAGCGGTCTTATTTTGCTCTTTTTTACGTGATTGACGATCTTCAACTGATCGACGATTTATTCGTGGCTTACGCTTTTGTTTGGTTTGTTTGTTCTTTAATGCCATTGCGATGACCGAACTGGTTTGCATTGTCCAATCCGAATCATCGGTGGCGCTTGATGATGTTTCGCTGCGCGGTGAAAAGCATGAAGATGAACCGCACAACGAACTGTCATCGTCGATGGAACTTTCAACCAAATCTTCGGCACGTGAACGCACCAAAGCTTCGACCTGTGCCATTTCATCGTCGCAATTTCCAATATCTTCACACAAATTCGATTGCTGCACAAGAGTTATTGCTTGCTCCAAAATTGATGGGAATTGCTGTGCTGTTATTGACGGCGACGAGTAGTTGACAGTAGTTGGCCTTACGTCTGTTGGTTTGCATTGTTGTTGGTATGGTTGGTTATATTGCAACTGATAGTTTGTAATAGGTTGCGGATAGAATTGATTCTGTAAAATTGAAAGAAATTAATTTGAAATTTGGTCATGAATTTGTTGCTTTCCAACGAAGAGGGTCAGAGAATTAAATTAAAACTAAACGATTGCATTTTTCAGTATATTCACCTTTGAATCGTTGAGATAGGCTTGCAACGGAGTTTGAGGCGGTGTTTGAGGAGGTGTTTCCGGTGGTGTCAAATGAATTAATTCAACCGCATCGTAGACTTGATTGAATTCGTTCAGTAGCTGGGCCGTGTTACCTTTCACAGGACAAATACGAGCATCCTGTACTGGTGCGTATTCATCCAACGGCACATTGATGGGCTGCTCCAGCCATTGATCTGATTTAATGCAAAAATAAAAACAAACATTAATTAATAAAGAATTCATATTGTAATAAAAATTGCGATATTGAAAGAGAAATTGCATTTTTTTGACGAACATCTATTCCAAACTTTTATCTGCAGAGTCTGTTTTCAAATGAATTATAATTGTTTTTTCATAAAAACAATTGTTTTTCATTACAAATTCCTGAAATAAGTAATTCTTGAAAAATGTACTGATAATTCAATTACGTAAAATGAGTAAATATGAAAATGAGTGTTTTAACCTATAACACTCAAATAAAAAATCGATTATTAACCAATAAAAAACATCTCAATTTAACCTTTTTTTTTTAAAGTCTATATCATTTTTAATGCTTGGAAATGATATGGAGTTCAGACAAGTTTTGAGTTTAATCGGCTGAATTGGATTTTAAATATGGGGCATTTGGGATGAAAGTGCATTGTATTTGTAAATGCTGTCTGTAAAATGCAAAAAGATATTTTCTAGCTAGATCTTTCGAGACGATGACGTTACTGAATTCCCGCAGTTGAAGAAATTGAATTTCGGAAAGTTGCACTGATAACGCTATCTCTAGGTCAAATTCCTTGAACTTTGTCTTGTGACTCGTACGTATGGCAAAAAAGCAGACAATTTAAGAGGACATTTCGTGTCATTTCATATATTTGGTTTTTTTTTAACTGATTTTCTACTCTTATCTACGTCCAGCTGTTCTAATTTACTTTGTTTATTCATATATTTTTTTTGCTAAATCTAGAAAATCAAATTAGTGTTAACCATACACATGGCTAGATGTCACTAATATCAATTAGTAGTGAATAGATTTAGTGTTCATCAATTTAAATGAATTTTTGTCATTCATTATGAGAGAAAAATTTGAAGTGAATAAAATACAGAAGAAAATGATGTAAGTCAGACATAAAAATTAAGTACAGACAATCAATCATTTTCAATTTATGATTTATTTTTCATCATTGAAAGTATCAATTGGACAAATATTAAAGCATTTAACGCATCTATATCGATCAGCTCAATTGTCTCAATTTTTTTGTAATGAGAATTGATTGTTACGCATTTTTATATTCATAGTGTCGACTATGTCGGTAAAATTTCGAATGTCTGCCGCCTTTTGGCGATATATTTTCTCATTTAAATCAAATATAGAGATTTGTTTCAAGGCGATATTGTTATTTAGAACGACTAAACTATGCATATTTTGGTGGAATTTTATTCAAAAATGAAAAAGAACTATATAGTATAACTTGGCTTGTAAAAAAGTTTCTCATGCGGAGTCATTGTCAAGCATGTAAATTATGGTTTAAAGCAGCAGCAACAACAACAACAGTTACAGTAAAATATCAATAAGAAACCTTGGAGGGGAAAAACTTGTCTTGTGAATGAGAAAAAAATGCATATGATGCGTAAATTATCAGCGATTTTTATTGAAGCGATCAAACCAATCATGAGACAAGAGTAAATGGAAAATCGTAATGGAATTTGATCTCATGCAATTAAAAGTCATTGATTTATTTACATGTTGACATCATTTTGTCACACAGAGGGAAATATCAAATGGCAAGTCGAATGAACCCGCGGTACAAATATTGTCGCACAATTCGAAGTCAATTCAATTGAATTTGATGAATAAATTGTGATTCCATGGAATGTTTTGAATGCAAATTTCATAACCATTACTCTGAGAAAACTCAGATGTTAAAATTCAAAGTAATAAGAGAAAAATGCCATTTTAACATGGAGAGGTTTTTAAACATGGTAAAATCTTATTTTACCCGCAACACATTTCTTTGTGGGTAAAACCGCATTTTAACATGTGAAAAAATCTCTCCATGTTAAAATGACGACAAAATGCCATTTTAACATGGAGAGATTTTTGAACATGGTAAAATCTCATTTTACCCGCAACACATTTCTTTGTGGGTAAAACCGCATTTTAACATGTGACAAAATTTCTCCATGTTAAAATGGCATTTTGTCGTCATTTTAACATGGAGAGATTTTTTTACATGTTAAAATGCCGTTTTACCCGCAAAGAAGTGTGTTGCGGGTAAAATGAGATTTTACCATGTTCAAAAATCTCTCCATGTTAAAATGGCATTTTTCTCTTATTACTTTGAATTTTAACATCTGAGTTTTCTCAGAGTATGAACCACTTGATTCGAGATCGGATTCAGAAACTTGTAACATTTCCAAAATATATAACAACAACAAAAAAGTCAACAAATCTGGTTTTTATCATATTTTAAATTCCAAGAATATAAAAGTGGTAAAATTGGTCATATTTTAATTCAATTCCGCTACTAACCATAATGAAATAACATGTACGAGCTCATTTGGGATGAGAATTCGAATTGTCTCGATGTTTTTTTGAATAATGAATTTTAATAGGCCTTGCGGTTATCTGTGCGCTCCTGTTCACTCACTATCTCGTTGAGATCGTATTTGTGACTTGGTTTATGACTTCTTCCTTACAATTAAGTATATTATGTAAATAAAATGTGTCCACGCGGTGCGACGAATATAAGATATATAGTTGGCGTCTGATGTGTGTACTTTTGTCGATATCGATTTGTCTTAGCAGCTTCGTCGAAATATTTGCCGTAATAGTTCGTGGTAAATTTCGGCAATAAGTTCGCTGGTCGAATGTTTCGTCGATTTTCTCTGCGTTTATATGTAAAAAACAGGTTTTGCACAGCAAACAACAATCACAGACTAATTTTCTCTTTAGGATAATTTATAGTTGTTTTTCGAATTTTTTGGGCGCTTTTTTCTGCTTTCTTATTTTTTTTGTGTCCGATCCAATAATTGGTCGGTGTTTTTTTTTGTGTCGAGAGTTGATACGGTGTTTACGAAAAATTTGTGATTACACAAGCAGTTGATCGATAAATTGCTTGTCACTGCGTCTACGTGTATTTCAATCGAACAGTTGTCGTCGTTGTCTTTGTTTATTCAGGAAATTGAATGGTTTTAATTTAGTGCTTTTTAAAGCAGATTTCTGATTTCACTGATACGATGCTAGTTCAGGGTACTGTAGTTTTTTTTTTTTGATTAGCTATCAAGGATTTTATTTTCCGTTATGGTCGGAACTATTTATTGTTTTTTTTTTTTTTCGTTTAGAAATTTTCCTGATGAGTTTTTTTCTTTCTTGGGGTGAACCGGCAATTGTTTATTTATTGAGAGTGTGCATGTGTTCAATCATTCAAAGCGACAACTGTAGACGTGCTAATTGAGACCTCTTTTTACAAGCTTTTCTGAGGCAATCACAATTTCGCGGTTCCACCTGTATCGATATCCAATTGTGACGATCATGCTCACGGTTGAGCGATTTGAAACTAAAATCTTTAGAAAATAATCATATAAAAATGAACGCTGGTCGTTGACACCGTTGATATAAATTCTACTATCTTTTCACTGCCAAATATTCCAACGAAAATGTTTGCCACTCAATTGAAATTATATCTCGAATTACTTCACGATGTTTCTCTGCCAAATATTGATATGAATTTAAAAAAAAACTGTTTCGGTCCAATCAATACGCTTAGCAAAATCACACTGTGGCCATAAAACGAAGCAATCACACGCTGTGAAGCCCGTTTGGAAATTGAAAATCCAAAAATAAATGAATCGCGCACAAAATTGAAAACAAAACAAAACAAAACAAAACAAAACTTGCTGATAATCGAAATGTAAAAGTTGCTCGACGATTTAACTTGTCGAGGCGACACACTCGCGCTTACACGATCAAGTATATACAATTTTTTAATTGAGCTGATGTGGAGAAAAACTCGCTTCGAAGAACGAACGCAAAATTAACCTCATTGGTTTGATAGTCTCTGACATACTAAACGGCTGTGAGTGTCGATCGTTGAGTCGAAGTTAAAATCAACGACAAAAGTCGAGTTTTTAAGTGTGCATGTATACGAACAGAGTGTATTTGATACGAATACACATACATTGCCCTTATGAATAAACATCGAAGAATAAATTAAAAAGCGAAATCAACGTGTCGATGGATTTTTTTTTTTACGTAAATAACTGATATACGTTTGAGAAGATTAACAATTTTCAACCGATTCGTTGAAGATGAAACGCAATTTTCGTGTGAACGGGTTGTTTTTTGCACAGATACTGTCAAAAAAAACATGCGAAAAAAAGTACAGTCAAATGTTGGCTAATGAGAGCACGTTCCAATTTACTATTAACAATTTTAAAAATGACAGTTTTGATATTGCAAAAAAAGTGCTACGTCTAATGAGACCATTGATTTAAAATTAAAAATGAAAAATACAGCATTTTTATTATGATTGCTTGCTTGATTAGAATGAACTGATTCGAATTGAAACTCCGAGAATTACAACATGATCAATTGAAACTTGTTGTATGATCAGTGCAACGCCTCGTCATTTCATTTAAATAAAATTCTTATCAATTAATATTCACACTGTCTTGTTTGCTGTTTGCATAAGTAAAACTCTTTACGCGCATATTCGAATATGCTTCCAATCAAAGCGGAAAATAAATAAATTGCCTTAGATACCGTCAAAGGAGATCCGTTTTGGTTTTTTTTTTCGTTGTTTAAAAGACAATGCTCTTGATGTGGTGTATCTCATTCAAATTGAATATCTTATCACATTGAAGCGGTTTCATGCACAAAAACCAGTCCATCGCATGCAAGGCGTATTGTATTGAAATGAAAACATATATTGAACGCATCGATTTCTTTGTTTGAAAAACCACTTTAAAAATAGATTTTCTTGCCAACTTCAAAATTGTGATACTGTTGGCTACGCCACTGCCATTATTAAATACATATGTATAATGTGTCTCTTGTATATGGTTTTTAAATGACAATGGGCGATAACGCTATCAGAGCATTGTTTTCTTAGTATAAAAGTCCATACAATGGGTCTTTTGATTTTTCGGAATCTTTTCATATTTGAAAACGGAATAACCTAATTTTGGTATCTAAATGCAAAATCGTACCGTCTCAATGCATTTATGTCGACAAAAAGGAATCGACAAAGCAGGAGAAAATGACAATGTGAATAGAAAATCAAGAGACGACTAAAAATACAGCAAATGAAAATAAGGCACAAAACGTCGATAACGCAAATGACAATTGACAAGCATTTTCAACTGATGTCTTTTTAACTTTCAATTGTACGAACTCTTAAAAATCATCGACCTCGTCGAAAAAGAAAAAGAAATAAAAATGAAATGAAAAACAAATTTGTGAATTTACTCAAACACTTTTACAATTAATCATGTCACCATGATAAAGAGTGTTTTATTAAAAACAAAACAAATGATAAAGTTCTTTGTTTTGCCCAAGTGGATCTCTTGAGAAGTCCCAAAAAAAATATCAGCGCCTACATTGAAGTCAAATTCACAAATTATTGAAGGTAAACCGAAACAGGTTCCTACCAAAAGCGGCTACACCATCAAAGAAGGAAACTGTACGTGTAAGAAAACAACAACAATGAAATTGGAACGCATGTGTTGAAAGTAAGAGCACCAAAAAAACATTTAAAATTGGAAAAATACAACGAATTTTTTGTCACGTTAAACATGGCTGCTACCAAATGAGAGCGAATGGAATTCGTGTGTTTTGTTTTGACTCATTTTTCAGAGATCTTATTGGAGATATATATTATAATAATAATAATATTATTATTTTTTTCATCGCTTGAGTGACTTAGGTGATCACGCACCGGACGAATGATAATCGACACAGATTCACACAGACTCGGTGAGGGGTATTATTCATTTTGCTTTTTTTATAAAAGATTCTTTTTTTTATAAATTAGTTTTGAGTGCTGCTGTTATCAGTGCAACGTTTCAACTTGAAACTTATTTATGCATAAAAATGAAAAAATAGTATTGAATTTTCTCAAAATTTGGTCAAAATTTCTATTTTCAACTATGCCCAAACTGATATTTATTGATCAAATAAAACAAGAACATATAATATGCTCTAGTGATGGGGGTACTGATAGTAAAAGAAACGAGAATATGTCTTGATAGGTACCGAGATTATGAGATGCACTTTTTTGACAACATTTTTTTATGTTCACAATTGAATGTACAATTTATTTTTCGATAATTGCGTACAAGGCAACCAGCTGCAACTGCAACTTTATTACAATTTGCTGTAAATTTGAAACGTATAATAGGCCTAGTTTGTTTTCATGTTATTTCTGACTCGGTTGATTTAAAATAATAAATACAAAATTTGCATTCCCATTTGGAAGTGTTTAAAAATCTGTTGTGATCATCATATATTTATCAAGTCAAATGCCAATACCAGACTTATATCACGTATCATTTGGGTTTATTCCATAACGATCATGGAGACTTTCTCTGTGGAGAATGAAAAATAAACGATGAACAAATCCATAAAAATGCTAATCGATCGATTTTTTTATGAAATCCACTTGTTAGGCAATTTCTACAGATGTTCATTATAGATAGTTGACCATATTATCACTGTATGATATAGACTCTTTTAGATTGTCTGTAACTAACATCCAAATGAATTAATCCAAGGTCTTTATTTCGCGCATTGCACTTAATTTAAACAAGCACGTTTAGTAGAGCCAACTATCAAATACAATCGCAGCGCATATCTAAACAGCAAATAGATGCGATTTTTTAAGATTATTATTTATATTTATCTGTTTAAATTACATTGTAAATCTAATATAAATGCGTAGTCAAACCACTTGTAATTACTCAATTTCTCAGTAGTTGATCAGTAGCTATGCTCAATTCAATGTGTTGACACATGGAATTGTTAATTGATTGTGATAAATCATCGACGAAGGCACTGATTAGCCTTTTATCGATTGGAGTAAATGATACTTCAAATAAAAAACTCAAAAATATATGACACAGGAAAGAAAATGAACGTGTTATTATTGTTGAATCTGGGAGATCACTTGCAAGGCGACTGGCGGAAATTTCCCGTTTTGATTAACATAAAATTATTAGAAAATATATTCAAATCGAACACATGCCATATTCAAAGCGAAACGTAGGTTGGATCATCGATCAGATATTTTACAATCTTTCCATTTCATTCGATTTCATTCCATTTTGTTATTGTTCAAGTTTATACATATTTCGAACGATATCATTCAAAAATATTCAATTTCAAAGAAGCAAGAGTGTGAGAATTATAAATTTTCTAAAAACTGAACGTTATTATTATTATTTAAAAGAAAGCGATAGATTCAAGACTCGAGAGTATTCAGTTGTGGAATATTACGCAAATGGTTGTGTATCTCAGTATCTGTCTCATAAATAATCATTTACTTTATGAATTGTGCTATTATGACAAAAAATGTACGAGTTGTTTGCATTCAAATTGAACTTGTTTCAGGATAAAATTAGTCAATCGATCGATTTAATCGAAAATAAAAAAATTTCTCTAACGTTTAAAGAGTTTGAATTTGTGGCGCAAATGTTTAATTACGCGTCACAAAATTGGATAAACAAACATTTAAATACACGCAATGAAATACATTAATAATTCCAGAGCTTCAACGCTGCATTTATTGAGTTCATCGTAATCAAATAACAATTAGAAGCGCACCAATTTTGTGTTGTTGATTTTTTTCTCTAAACACCATAAAATGAATTTTAATGATTCCATTTACTATCCTGGTTTAACTACATTCACATCGAAAAATATTAATTGAAATTCCATTTTAAATTATTCACTAAACAAGAGTAAATACAATAAATTGAAACAAAAGTCTATTCGGTTTGAAAATTCGTATGAAATTGATTTCTCACAAGCAACAGTAGCGCCATCCATCGGTCGAAATATTCAACTAACTAAGTGGGGACGCTTTCAATTTTTTTTTCAATTTGTATTCAATAAATATATTCGTGTTTCGTCAAAAAATGTGTTTTCCTCAATTTTTTTTTTTGCAAATAATGTGTACACTCACCATTTGATTGTTCGTCCTCGACCATTGTATTCAAAAGTTCGGATTGAATGTCCAATAGATGCTCAAACTCTTCAGGAGAGAACTGGAAGGTTTGGTTTGACTTAATTAAATCATCGGCTACAACTTCAATCTCTGTTTAAATAGGAAAATTAATTAAGATCATTTTCAATGTTGGATTTGCGATAATGGTGAAAGAGTGAGATTACCGTTTGCGAAGCTATCTTCAAAAATAAGTATTTGTTCCGTATCAGCATCGGAGAAGTGAGATAGGCTCGGCGATTGATTGCCGTCCCAAATAAGCTCCTGCGGTAGTTCCAGAGTGTCCATTACGATTTTTTTTGTTTTGGACCTTGTCGAATAATAATATATCTGATATTGATATAATTGATGGTGTTAATTTCCTTTGATGTGTTTTGGATAAAGGTGTGGTGGACACAGCACGCTCCATTGTTGTTGGCGCCATAATGGCTCTACAATTTCAACATGAAAAAAAAGAACAAATATATTCGCAATTAGATTTACATTTTTTGGGGATTTTATTTGAAAATCGTTCATTGTTGCTTTATCATTGGTTTGATTTTTAATTCCAAGTGATATAAAGAGTTGACTTTGATTCTAAGCAAGTACATTATCAAACAAGTCATCGTACTATCAAATAAAAAAATAAAAGTGAGCACGCATCACGTTCTAATCAACCCATATTTTTCATGTCTGTGTCAAAGCCGTTAAGTGAGCATTTGCGCGTGTGTTATGTCCAAAACGCAAAAAAATATACATAAGCAATCCAAACCTTTGGCACAATATTAGCGCCGCTAACAGTTTGTATACAAAATAAATACATTTTACTTTATTTTGATTGTATATACATTTGGTATTACATTTCAGAATGCATGAACTCCGATGAACTTGTGAAGTGATGTTTTAGCTCGTGGAAATGTACCAAATTTTAATAAATTGTAACCTAGACATTGACTAGACAAAAAATACGGTGGCAAGCGTAAACAGATGATAACGTTTTTTTTTTTGCGCAAAAAAATCTAGTATGAAATTGAAATCGTAACCTAAGCGAGAGATTTTATCAATATGGCAATGCGCTTAAACGTAAATGGTCGCATGACACACTTTCACTCAATTCTCTAATGATGAATGAGAGCACTCAAGCTTAATCGATCGAGCGTTGATTTGACTCTGTTTTAAACATTTAATGCTATTTATTAAAATCAGTGAATAGATTGGTCTACAGCTATAGCAGTGCTATTTTCACAGCTCCTATTCATAGGTGCTATTTATGAACAACGTATACGGACAGCGATTTTATGATACAATTCCGAACGAAATGTTCAAAATTTAAATAGAACAATTGATTTTAGTATTTTACATTTTTTTTTGCATAAACAAATCAATAGGTCTATTGTCCGGAATTGTATCATAAAATCGCTGTCCGTATGCGTTGTTCACAAATAGCACGTATGAATAGGAGCTGTGAAAATAGCACTGCTATAGCTGTAGCCCAATCTATTCACTGATTAAAATACGGTAAAAACATAGACGATTTTTCATTCTTTGGAAAGCAATCAAAACAATATTTTGTCATATAAGACGGACCCGTTTCAACTTTTATTTCTGTTTTGATATTTTGCGTGACGCAAACCAGTTTTCAATATGTATTTTGCAACACAAATTGTGTTTGCTGTTACAGTCAAATCGCACCTGTGATCGTACAGCAAATTTGCTGTTCAAATAAAGTCAAAATTAATTACATTCCTTCACACAAAAAATACCAAAATGATATTGACGTATTTTCAGGTATGAAAAAAAATTAGTTTACGTGAAACATTTACGTGAAATAAAACAGAGAACAAAAAAAAATCTGTACCTGTTTTGGATTTGTAGAAAAAATATTTCACAATTTGAATATGAATAAAAAAAATTGCTAAATGTCATACATTATGCTTTATTTGTGCAAGTTGCTGACATGGCAAAAGTATTCCAAAATGCACAAAAAAAACGCTTGGCTCACAGATAACGAGCTAAAATGGGGAACGAATAAATTTGAGAAACGAAAAAGTCGCAACTGATTTCTTAAAAATAATACGAACGGCTGTGTATTTAGTTTATATTTAGCTGCCCGCTATGCAATCGTCTACATATACAATCTCATTCCGAAAGTCACGAGAATTTAAAAAATGAGTGGCTTTTGGTGTAATTTTAGTCTTCAAAATACACAAATGTATGAACGCGTGTTCGTCATATGAACCGATGTCTTTTCAATATATGCAATGCATACATCTATATCTATCTCTTTCATGCCAATATAGATTCCTTGGCGTCGTTTCAATTGTAATCGGTTTTATCACTAAATAATGTAAATGACTAATGGATTTATGTTCTAATCACATTGTTTATCTTCATTCAATGAATTTCCTAGAATTCGGAAGGTATTTTGGTAAAAAATTCATAAAACTTCATTTATTTGTTAATTTTTACAAATATTACATCAGCCAAAAAGTTTTGATGAGTGATGGCGCATACGTATATACCAGTGACTTATGTTTTGACCATATTCACATACATGCTTTTTTTCCACTATTTAATCATATTGTGAAATTCATCCGTTCCATTAATAATGACCCACGACGACACTTTTAGATTTTTTCAATTGATTACACGTCAAATTTTCACTCGAATTTTTTTACATATGGTTCATAGCATACGGCCAATGGAATGTGAATGCGCATTTTCTGAACTTAAGAAAAATCAAAGTTTTTTTTTTTGATAAATTAACTTTTTATTACTTACAATTTTAAAATCATTATTTTGTAAAAGGACCCCTAAGGGCGCGAAATGCACGAAGCACACACTAGTAATCCATCTTTAATTTGAAAAATATACCGAGAAATAACTTTAATACGCTTGCTTTAGTCGACTTCATTTGGAATAGTGAGAATGCTTATACGATTCTTCGTTCGTACAACCACTTCGATTACACACTTTCACATTATTTCGAACGTATACAATTTACGTAAATACGAAACGTATGGACTGAGGGCTGTACAACTTTTGAAATATAAAGCATTCAAATCGATTCAAATGAGAAAAAATTATATAAAGAAATTTAACACGTGAAATATTTTGAATAATAAAAAAGAATACATAGAAATTATCTAGAAATAAAATCCATTTTTTTGAATTAAACTATTTTTCAAACACGTTTTTTGTTACACTCCATTTCCATGTACATTTGAATTGGTTCGGTTGCCAAAGTGTATTCAAAATGCACAGAAAATATAGATCGATGCTTTCAAAAATGTTTGAATCGACTAATTTTGTATTTAAAATAAATAAAAAGAAAATATTTCTTCAGAATAATAAAATAATTAAAATGCTGAATATTTAAGAAACGAAAATGTTTCGATTTCGAAATGTGTTTGACATTTCGATTCATCTGTCATCGTCTGCCGATTGTCAGCTAAAAATTAACAATATGGCGCCATTTCCTATCAGGGTTCTTTTCTACATACAACGTGCTATACGTCGGACCTATGTGAGTTGATTGTTGTGTAAATTTTTATAAAAAATTCGATGTGAATGGTTTTTTATTGAATTTTTGGATAATTTACAGAATGACTGCCGTGGATAAAAAGAAGGTTGAGTCAAAAACTCTTCCAGCAGTTCCAGAATCGCGTCTTAAGATCGCTAAAAAAGCAGCTCGTGCACGAGCTGTCTTGGCTAAACGGCGTGTCACCAAAGTTCTTACAGTTCAAAAACGCCTTCGCGAAAATTTCTTGCGTGCCGAGAAATATGCCAAACAATATGCTGTAGCTGATCGTCGCGAAATTGAAAAGAAACGCGAAGCAAAACGTGCTGGAAATTACTACATTCCCGGAGAAGCTCGTTTGGCATTTGTTGTCCGTATTCGTGGGTAAGTTGTTTTTTTTTTATTCCGAAAAATTCATGTGCAGAAAAAGTTGATCAAAAACATATATTAAATGGAATTGAGTGAAATATGTGAATTGGATTAATGTGATTGATTTGATGAAAAAAAAATGTGAAAGTTGTTAAAGTGAGGTTATGTTTTGGTATCAACACGCAACACACAACAAGACACACATGCACATTTCATACTTGTACAGAGTTGACCAATATTTGATAAATGTTAATTTGAATGTTTTTTCTTTTTCAGTATCAACAAAGTAGCACCAAAAGTGCGTAAAGTTTTGCAATTGTTCCGTTTGCGTCAAATCAACAATGGTGTATTCATCAAGTTGAACAAAGCCACCATCAACATGTTGCGTATTGCCGAACCATACATTACATGGGGATACCCGAACTTGAAATCAGTTCGTGAATTGGTCTACAAACGTGGTTATGTCAAGGTATTTACACTTTTTTCATTCGATTTATTTATCAACATTTAATGCGAATCATTGTAAAGCACGTTTTGATTCACCTGTTTTTTTTTGTGCTCGGCACATTTTCCACATACATTCGAACTAACGGTATTGTTGTTATCACTCTATTTTCACAGCACAAGGGACAACGTGTGGCAATCACTGACAACTTCACCATCGAACGTAAATTGAAGCGCCGGGCTGACATCCAATGTGTCGAAGATTTAGTGCACGAAATTTTCACCGTCGGACCAAACTTCAAATATGCATCAAACTTCTTGTGGCCGTTCAAATTGAACACACCAACCGGTGGATGGCGCAAAAAGAACAACCATTTCGTTGAAGGTGGTGACTTCGGTAACCGTGAAAACCAAATCAATGTTCTACTCAGACGTATGGTTTAAATCATATTACAATACCAACATCCAAATAAATTCAATCAATGAATTTACATTAAAAAAAATCGAAAAAAATAAATAATTACAATTTATTGATTATAAAAAAAACAGTGTGGTTTCAATTTATTTGGGTTTTCTTTTTATACGATTACACTGTCATTTGTGATGCATTGTTTTTATAATGTCTGGTTTGTAGTGATTAAACTGGCCTTGGCATTAAACTCGGTCAAAACTGTTTGGAGTTTATGCTAATTGAAGCTATTTGAACATGTGTACTTACTACTTCAGAGTTCATTCAATCGAATCTATCGTTGAATTTGTTGTTATGATTTAATTTTCTGAACAACACATGTATGTGTTAAACAAAGTATCCCTTCATGTCTATACCAGGCATTGATTTTTTTTACATGAACTAGTTGGCTTCGAGGTTTGATATTTAAATTTCGGGTGATGTATATTCGACACTCCGATCTTGTGTTCATTGCTTTCAAGTCGTTTTGTTTGTTTGTGCTCGGCTGCTCATAAATTGCTATTTTAAACGACCCTCATAAATCAAGATTCAATTTTGAAAAGCAACGTACTGTGTTACTAATTCAACGTTAATAGCTCATTCGTTGTAATTTAGTATTGATTAGTGTAATTGGAAAGTTTTTTTTTTATTTTAAAAATGTCAATCACACAAATGGGAACGAAGCGCGATTTCGAGCAAGAGGCCGAATTCCAAATCGAACTACTTCAGCAAAAGGCACGTGAGGATTTTCTTCTCAGTTTTTCACAGAGTGAAGATACGTTGACTGAAATTGTTGAAGAATTCATTGTTCCAACGGTCAAGGCTCCACAACGTGAAGAAACCGAAGCAAAATCGTACATTTCGTCAGCGTCAAAATCGATTTTGGAAAAATGGATGTACGAGCATCGATTATATTGTTATCCAACTAAAGCAGAGAAGCAAGCACTAGCCAGGGAAACGGGCCTCACCGTACAAAAAATTTCAAATTGGTTCATCAACTCTAGGTAATATGATAGTTTTGAAGAAAATTCGATCACAGTTATGTGTTACTACAATGATTAGAATACTTGTGCTTACCTATAATAATTCAATCTAAACACTTTTATTGGTATGAGTTTTATGAATAAAATCAATGATTTCATCTAGGCGGCGGATGTTACCAAAAATGCTGCAAACTGAAGGAAGAAATCCAATCAATTTTACCATTTCACGAAAGAAGAAGAAGACTGAAGCCATACTGACTGGCAGTTTTGAAGGGGCGAGCTCATCGGCCAGTTACCTGAGCAATTGTGCCATTGTTGAAGAATCCAAAATCATCGATCAAACCAGCATTTTGTATGGCAACGCAATAGACATTCAAAATGAACAAAGCAACATTTCTTACGATCGAGCCCTTCAAGAATTCATTGTGCCATATACTGAAACTGATGACGAAAATTCCATACCATCCGAATTAACGTCAACCGACCAACACAAAGTCGATGAAGTCATTCGAGGCATTTTGTACGATCAAACAACTCAATCCAAGTGCCTGTTTATTCTTATCAATTCACCAATGAAATGAAAATGTCTCTTGATTACGTTTCTATTTTCAATTCAGTTTTCTAAAAATCTTATTTAAAGAACCATGATTTATTTTTGTTTAGAATATTATTCCGTAGAAATTGTTTTATAACGTATTTGTTTCATTGTATTTATGAACTATTTTTCAATCAAATTTTATATAAAAAAATTCTCACATTATCTACAAAACTAATGTGTTGAATCGAATAATGTTTTGCAATTATCTTTTAATTATTTTTTTTTTAAATAAATGTCAACAACTTTTTTCTCTTTTTTTTAATTACAAAAATATGTCAACAATTTTATTATTTTTTTATTACAGATTTTAATTTTTGGTTTCTATTTTTCGACTAACCAATTTTTCAATTATTTACAGCACAGTGGATAATTTTTGAATCAAGGATGAAACTGACGAAAGAGGAAAAAATACACAACCCAATCCATTGGCCATTCTTCATATGTTCCTAACGAAACAGTGAAAGTCATTGTTGACACCAAAGAACATCGTCTGGTAACATTGCAGAATTTTTTCCATAAAAAACTGTTTTATATCGAATTTGCTATTTTTATTGTGTATTGATCAACTATTTTCATCTGTACATTTATTTAGAACTTCACATTAAAAAGGTTGACCGCATTGACATTTACGGTTTTAGCAGAAAAAATGATTTTAAAATGTAAATAAACGATTCTCATTGAAAGGGCAGATTTTGTTCTACGATTTATAGGTTGCCGGTTTTTCAAACAAAAGTAAATATTCAAAATAATATGAGTGAGACAAAGAGAAAAACAATGGCAATTGAATGTAATAAACTTTTGGAATGAAACATCAAAGCATATATTTCACAGCGCCGAAACAACGTTACATTCAAAAAGAAAATTCATTGTCCCATATATTGCAATTTATTTTTGCATATTTCAATCCAATTTATGCCTACGATTATTTTACGTTTAAGAGTACTCTATAATATCTGCTTTTATGAATCCAACATATTGATTATATAGTTTTAAATAGAATAAAATAAATTCAAATAATCATCGAAAAAAAATATACCACATGTAACGATAAAAGCTGTAGAACGTGACAAAAACTCAGTAAATTGCGAATTAATTGCCATAAATCATATTCGAGTCGTTTGTAATTCCAATGAGTGCACAGCCATTCCATGACTGTTCGATTGTAGTTTATCAACACACAAAATCAGTATATCGTGCTTTTAAATTGAAGTATAGGATAGGGTAGGGTATTTTTATCTGAAATTCTGAAATTCAAATTTTTTTGCATTGATTTTCAATTCAACGATCAATAAGGCATTGATGTGAATGATATTGAACTTGAACCGATCATACATACGCTTTCTCATTACATCGATTTAATATTACATGAATTTACGTTAATCGGTTCAGCCAGTTTCTGTGTAATTGATCCATGCAAAGGGATCCAATTTGTTCAATATGATCATAAAATTCCAAAGAAATGCTAATATTTGAACAATTCATATTTGTGGTTTTTCTTTGTTTTGTTATAATCGTCATCTTTATACAAATAGTGACAAATTTAAAAAAAACAATACGGCATAAGGATGAAAGTAATAAAACATTTACTGTCGAAAAATTCTTCCGAATTCTAGAAAGAAAAATATTTACACTATCAGCAAAAAAGATGTTATTCTTTAAAAAAAGACGTTATTCAATTTGTGTCAGTTTGCCAATTGATAGTCAGAATAAGTCATAGCCTCAGTTACTATTTACATAATTGTTTTGTTTATCTTCTTATATTGTGCGTTTCGCAAATGGATGAAACACTTTGGATCGCACCGATTATTTTTTTATCGCCGTTAATGAGGCGCAACGAAATGTTGAAATTTTTGTGACGTCTGAATCATTCAATTATTTACTCTCTACTAATTTCGAGAATATTCATATTTTTTCTTATCCAAATATAATTCTTTCCGAATAAGCATTCAAAGCAGTCATGAAATATGGATGTTAAAATGATTGCCCAAGGTGTGCTGTGATAAGGCCGGTTTGTTAATGGTAAAATTCCACAACCAAACTGCGTTTTACAGACATTTCGACAACTAAACAAACTTATGCGGTTTAATGAAAACAGCAAGTGTATATGCGCGCGTACAGTTTGCATTTTGTTGGTATAAACACACAAGTTTTATGAACTGATTCAGCAGATCGTTGAAATGTACATCGTTCTTTCTGGAAGTAAACGTGTGTCAACAACAACGAATTCAGTATTATTTCAACGCGTTCGCCCAACAGCAAATGCAAATGACTCATTCACTTGTTCACCGTATACAATAGATGAACGTTACAATACAATTACTAAAAGTAGTGAACAATAATCGACTATAAAAGCACGAACGGCGAGCGCTAACGAATCAGTATATAAATTGCTTCTTAGCGAAAAACTTCTCAAACGCTATTAGTTCTGCTTGCTAAAACAAGATTGCATTGACGTGAAATAAAAAACGCGTAATTTTTTTTCAGAGAGAATTTTGTTCCATTTTCAAACTACGTTAAAATGAATCGTGTTATTTTCGTTTCTGTCGCGGTGTTTCTTTTAGTTGCACCAACATTCACTTTGCCAGTCAATGAAAAATCGGTTGAAGGATCACCCGAAGTGCCCGCCAAACATCCAGAAGAAAATGAAGTAAATGGTGATGTAAATCGTGATGTTGAAACAATCGAAAACCATGAAATAAAATCGGACGAAAATACTGATGACACTACTTCATCGGTGACTGGCCAAAGCACAGGAATTATAACTCGGATCGGAATTCATGGTGATTGTAAGTTTATTAATATAATACAAATTCGATTAAAGTGGATTGCAAATTTTAATTCAACAAAATCTGTAATAGTGAATAGTTTCTATCGTGTATACACGTTTCGTGGACTTTGAAATTATTTAAGCGTTGCGTTGCTGAGATATCTGTTAGAATCAAGAATGTTAATGTGGTTTGTTTTTGTTTTACTTACAGTCAACTGCAGAAACATCGTGTGCCCTTCTGGAACTCAAACATGCAAATATGAATCGAAAATATTAAGAGATGGCAAAAATGCGGAAGTCAATTACAAATGCACATCTAGCAACGGTAATTTCATTCATTATTTTTTAATCATTTTTTGTTTTTTTTTTACATTTTCAATGAAAAGATAAGTTTGACTAAACATGAATTTTTTTTAATTCTCTATTTAGGAACTGTTCTTTTGGATCAAACAAAGACAGAGCCAGCTGGGGAAACTACACGTTTTGATGGATTTGATATTTCTGGTTTTTTCAAAGAAATGCAAGAATTCATGAAAAATATGTTCAGCAATCCATTTTTTGGCAGCGACGAAATTGAACAACAGTAAATGAAACAATATTTTTATGAAATCATGAAATCAGGGCTTTAATTATAGAATGCTTGTAAATAATAAACAGTTAGTGCAAATTAAAAAAGAAGAAAAACAATAAAAAAGTCAATTTATATAAAAAAATTATTATCTAATGAAATTTGTGTGTGTGTATTATAAAATTGGTGTCTAGGGATAGACACAGACGCGAAAACTAGGAAAAACTATAACTTGTACTAAAAAAAACTAAGAAACATTCTCAATACCCGTGTCTCTCTCCTAAATTGGTATGCTATTTATTGGATGAAAACTTAATGTCAATTTTTTTTTTGAAAGAACAATTGAAATTTGACTGAACATTTTTCAGTGATTAATTAGTTGAAATGAATTTTGTTTGACGCATAATACTTATTTGTTGGTTTGAATTTATATTTAATAAATAGTTCTATTCTATTTTATTTCAATTGTAACAGAGTTTAATGAAAAAAATCATTAAATTTTTGTTTCTTGAAAAATTCGATTTGAATTTTTCTGATCAGCGTTAAAATAAAATTAAAAAATGTTCTAAAAGAACATTTCATGAATTGAGAACCATTTACTGTTTTGATTATTTAAATCGTAAACATGCTTATCAGTGACACCAATGAAATCTTTATATATTGATAAACTAACGTATGTACGATTCTTGGCCAAGTTTAAAATCAAGTTGTAAATATGCTGGTCAAAAGATATGGTTTCTGAACGTAAAAATATTGAAGTTAATTGCTTTCCTTGTTCAAGTATTTCAAGTATTTCCGACAAACTGTCCACAGTCACAATGGACATATTTCTTAACTTTGGTATTTTAGTAAGTATATTGATTGCTGTATTCTTTGAAATATGTTTCACCGTTCGCAATCCAATTAATGCCGGTAATTTCGATAACTTTTCATCATAGAACGAAAAGGTTAATCTCTCAACTCGAGAGTCGTGTTCAATGAGTGATTTGATTAGTATGGTATGTACATTATGTGATAATTGACCAAAATCCAAATCTTTCAAATTTTTCAATTTGCCCACACAAATGAAGTTATCCGCTTGTTTATTGTTGACGCAGCATCGTAGATATTCCAGATTTGGTGTGCGTTCATTTATTCTATACAAAATCGATGAAGTTATCGCATTTGAAATGGATTGTGTTCGGTTCGATGCATAAATGGAAAAGCGTTTTAGTTGTGGATTCTTCCGTTGAAATTCAATCAATAGTTCGTCGTTCATATGATAAGATTTACGATCTCTATAACTAAAAATTGTAATATCTTCCAACTTTGGAAATGTTTGTCTTAACCATTTCGAACCGACATTTTGAACAGACAATACCAAATATTTCAATTTTGGAAGTGGCCCAAAGTTTCTTAACATCATATTTTTTAAGGAAAGTTTTTCCAAAGCGCGAAACTGCGAATATTTTTTGAAGTCCACGCAAAGATTTGTACTATGATGTCCTTCGATGTTGAGTTCGAGTAAAGTTTTACTGCAATATTCCACAATCATGTCCATATAAATCGTATCAAATGCTTTATCACCCGTATTGAATCCATAGATCCATCGAATTTTTTTAATCAAATGACCGAATAGCTTTAAAAACTCTGGTATACGTTGAAGCGGCAAATCGTTACAGAATGAACTAATATCGAGGGTCTGGAAAATTGAGTGTCTGATGCATGATTTCGCATTTTCTTGAAAATTTTTGCAGACCTTTGATGCGTTTAGTAAGTTTTCCATCCCATTTACACGATATAGAATAGTTTGAATGCATTCGTTGGGGAGTTCAAGTATATTTGCATTCGATGATGCTTTCGAACTTGTAACTTCGTTATTGCTTTTATCCATTGTGGTTTTTAACACGAGTTTTGGAAATAGTTAGATCTAAATATGAAAGTAACGGAATTTTATATTAAAAACAACAACGAATTTTCAAAAAAAGAAAACACAAAATTCAAACACAAAATCCAAACACTAAAATTTAAAAGAAAAACAAACGGTCCTCCGATAATGTACTGTTTGCGAACACAACTTGTTGCCAATTATTTTTGCAGGTATGCAAATTGCAATATAACTACTCATACATGTGTGCACTAAGCACCATGCATCTACACAGGTGTGTATGTATATATTTCGTCCGAAGTCCAAGCATCCTTTTTTAACATATCGGTTTTTCTTCTTTTTCAGGTATGTATGTGCTTGTTTTTATGTTTTTGAAATGTTTTGTCTTTCGTTTCAAAGTGGTATATTTATAATTTATGTTTGAAATATTTTGTATTTATTTTTCCAAATCATTTGAATATTTTTTTTGAAATTTCCAATTATATGTGCACTGCTTACCGATAAAATTAACTGAAGAATGATGTGCTTTAATCAATGATCATATACTGCAGAATTTTGGAAATAATAAGTTCAGTTCGGTATAACACTTGTTTTTTTTTTATTGGTTTTTACACTTTCTTAAGGACATCTACATGAACCGAATAAGAGTTCTGTTTAAGTCGAACGTATACTACTGACTGAATCAAGTGTATTCGACAAAGTGGCTCATAGTCCATATTCCACTAATGCTGTGCAGAAATGTGTACGGACAAATCAGTGCGGTCAACTAAAGAATACCATTAGGAAAATAAAAACAAACAATCAAAAATCCAAAGTGCACACGCTCTGGCCTGAACAGAATTGAACGTTTACAAAGATTATATAAACATCATCAAATATCAGTAGATTTACCATCTCTCTAAAAACATTTCAATGTGTTACATGCAGGACTGCTATTGGCATCTCAGAAGTGCGGCATCCGACGAAGTTAGTGCACTCTTTTTCGAGTACCCCACCCGATACCATATAAATCTCAAGTGCCGATTTATATGGTGTCATAGTCAAATGGATCATTTTTTTGGTCCGTCAATCTAATTAAACGCACATTTGTTTCTCTTTATTTATTTTCATTTCTGTATATGTAGAGATTCAATGAATTTTATGATTTTCCTCTTTTTCCAAAAGATACAAACATTTCCTTATATAAATATTGGTTGGCGTTCGGCGATGAATGTAGTGAAGTAATTTTTTTTGTTACCATGCAAAAAAATAAATCGAAAGATCAAAACGGTTACATTGTATTAAAAAAAATTGTCGTTACCAGACAAATTGTGTGAGTTTATTCATTGGAAAATTATGGAATATAATGTATAAATTAGTGTGTTTTCTTTTAATTAAAACGCTCTAAGAAAAGGTTGAACATTTGTTCCACGTCATCGCTAAACACTTTCGATTTGATTGCATGTTGCAAAGCATTCCGACAAGAGGACTGATCATAGGCTGGCTTGAATTGTTTGTCTTCATTCTTCAGCAAACCCAATTGCATTAGGAAAAAATTATTTACACGAGTCACCTAGAATAAACAGTAGACACAGTCAAGCGGAAAATGAATTATCTCTAATGACAAAAGAGGTTTGAATGCATTGCGTACGCTATTACGATTCAAGAATGCCTTTTTATAGCGATATTTACCTGGTTTGTTTTTTGAGCATAATCATAGCAATCTTTATACAATTCAGTGGCCACACGCAAAGCCTCTTGATTTTTCAATGATGTAGCCGATAATTTTATTATGGCAAACACTAAGTGGACAAGATAGTCTTTCTCTGGTACTAACTGAAATGAAATAATTTGAATTATACACTGATCGAACGATAGAAAATTGATTGTTTTGCAAGACCTGTAAGAAATCTCGGAAAGCTTGCAATTTATCTGTCTCCACCAGTGCATCGAATTGGTTTGATGTGGGATGTGGAGTGTTGCAGAATGTTAGCACTGTATTTGGTTGTTCGCTTGTTCCCGTGAAAACAACACTACTGTCATTCAATTCGACGGTCGAGTTCAATGTCCAGTTAATTGATTGATTAATAGAATCCATAGTCTGTTCAAATGAATACATTCAAAATATAATAATCGTTTGTGATAATGAAAATTAAAAATATATTACAACGTTCACATATTCGTCTTCGTCGGCTTCATAAGTGTCAGCATCTGATTCTTCATCGTCTCCAGAGACTTCGCCATCTCCATTTTCATCATCTTCTTCCTAATAAAAGAAATTAATCGTATAATTCATATACACCGTGGCCCATTTTAAGAAACAAAAATTGCTACTCACTTCACCCTCCGAATCATCTTCGTCTAGCTCTTCTAATGCATTCAAACGTTGCAATTCTTCCAAAGTTTCTCTAATTTCTTCACGAGCTACTTCTCCAAACTGTGAAATTTTTTAATGATAATTAGAACATACATCAATATCAAAGCACAGTGTAAACTAATGAAACGCATGATCTTACTTGGTTTCCATTCAAATTGAGTGTTTGTAATTGATCTTTATTGGCCATAGCTTCTGCAATCGAATATCCACCGTTGGGTCCAATTTCGTTGTGATCCAAAATCAATGTTTCCAATGCTAAATGTTCGTCGCGCAATGCTTCACCCAAAATAATGGCTCCTTTTGTTTTCAACAAACAATCACCAAAATTGATTTCCTCCAAACTTGAAAAAATAAATACATGTCATTAGTTTTGTTGCACCATATATGTACCTTAGATAACTTACTTTTGCATACAAATCAAAGCATCTCTCAATGCTTCTGCACCTTTTGCTGTGATTGTGTTGTCGTTCAAATTCAGTGACTTCATGTTTGGATTTACTTTGAATGCTTCGGATAGTGCCGATATACCTGGATGATAGATACCGTTTTGTGGCATCCAAACCATCTCAAGTGTTTTAACTTTTTCGAAAACCTTTGCCAATGCTTTTGCTCCATCATTTTCCAAACGATTCCGTCCGGCAATAAATACTTTTAATTGCAATGGTGTTCCGGCTTTCTCACTTGCATCATAACAATCGAGCAGTGCCTGAGACAACATTTTTCCACCACCAATTCCAAGGCCGCAATTATTCAATTTTAATTCCTGCCAAAACACAAAACGCATTGAGGCTTAAATTAATTGCGACATTTTTCAACGATACAAAATATTCCACCGTAATCGCGCCAATTTAATTAACATGAACACACGTCATAAGTTAAATTAAATAAAAGTTCTATCTACCTGAAGCGAATAACAAGCACGGCTTCTGAACAATTCAACTAGACCAGTCATTCCATTCGGTCCAAGTGCATTATCACTGCAATCAAAAACTGTTAATTGTGCACCGGCATCAATCATGCCTCTTCCCATTGACTGCAAAGCCGGCGGGATTTCAGTCTTCATTCGTCCGGTAAAAAGATCTTTGAACAATGCACGCTGGAATTCGGGATGTTTTTTCAACGCTTCGCCAATTCCCTTGGCTGCATCCACTCCCAATGTATTCCCCTCCAGATTCAGAAAATTCAATGATTTACAGTTATTTATCGCATCGATGAGATCTTTTGCTGCATTTTGTAATATGAAAAGATTGAGTACATTAATTGCGTTATGTTGATTTGTTTGAGTTTTTTTTCAAGTTAATTTCTACAAACCTCCTTCTTCGGTTTCCCATTTTTTGGCTTGTGATTCAAAACTAACGCCACTACCTCGTGCTTCGGCCAACGCTTGTTCGATACCGCCGAAATTAAAGCCTTGACTCATTGTTAAATCGACTTGTATGACTTTGTAAAGTTGATAAACTGACTGTTTATTACTGTGCACAGAATTTGCGACAAAAATGCAATTCAAACAATGTAATTAGAGTAGGAGATGTTATAATAAAATACATTTATTGCAAACGAAAGACGAAAGAGACAAACTGACAGATGGCAAAAGAGATGCATGTACATCCAAATTCGAAATGTCAATGTGCTGAATACGGTTGCTGCGATGCAACATAAAACTGTTTCTAATTAACTAACAGAAAATGTTCATAGCCAAAGAAAATATTATATTTTTCGTCAAAATTGAATAAAATTCTTTGAGTTTACTTTTTTAAAAAAATCATTATACATTTTATATGATTGCAAATTTTTACAGTCAAATCAAAAACCGTCACTGAAAATTTAAACGTTTGTTGTTTGAAACGGCTCATCAGCATTGAACGTATCCATTTACAATACAGCAGACAATACCGCGCATTTCTCTATTGTATGCTATACACTAACAAACAAGCGAGATTTTCTATGGCGGCATGAAGCATTCGCATTTCGGTTGGCAAATGAAGTAAAAGTGACGAATAGCAGAGTAAGCACGAGAAGTACATGGGAAAAAAGTGGTTTGATTGACAATTTTTTCGTTTGTGCTCTCGCTGCTGTTCACATTTTATCCTTTTTACGTATCAATTTTATAAAATTAATTTGGTAATGTGTTTGTACGAACAATTTTTGTGACAAATTCAAGAAAAGTGAGAAACGACCTTAAGTGCGAAACAAGTTGAAAAAAAAAGAAAAAAAGAACTTAAACGAAACAAAGACAGTAATTTACGGCATAATCTTGAGATTGATTGTGAAAAGTGAGGGATTTGTTGAATTGTGATCCAGGCGACGCATACAAATCACATTTAGAACAATCGGAAACCATTGTTTTAAATTCGGAACAACAAAAATTTTGGCATCAAAATGTCCGAGGTAAGTGCACACACGGGACAATGTATTTTCAAACAATTTTTTGTTTGTTGGTCAAAATGTTGTTGGATTTTTGAAATTTTTATGGTTTTTTCTATGCTTCAAAGGCATTTTTTTGTTGTAGATTTTTTTCCACTAATTTAATGAAAACTCGTTTTTTCCGTACTAAATTACAACAGTCACAGAGAAATGGCGGTAATATCGAAAAGATATACCAGAAGAAGTCACAGTTGGAGCATATTTTGCTTCGGCCGGACACATACATCGGTTCGGTGGAGCCGCTGAAAGAAATCATGTGGATCTACCAAAGAGAGACAAGCACCGATGAAAGCGGCAACACGATCACAAAAGGTAAAATGGTGCAGCGTGAAATTCAATACGTTCCCGGTTTGTACAAGATTTTCGATGAAATCTTGGTGAATGCGGCCGATAATAAGCAACGTGACAAAAAAATGACATGCATTCGTATTGACATCAATCCAGAAACAAATACCATTTCTGTTTGGAACAATGGCAAAGGTATTCCAGTTGTTATGCACAAAGATGAAAAAATGTTTGTGCCCACCATGATTTTCGGCCATTTGCTCACATCGTCCAACTACAACGATGAAGAAGAAAAAGTAACGGGTGGACGTAATGGCTATGGTGCCAAACTGTGTAACATCTTCAGTTCAAAATTTGTTGTTGAAACGGCATCGCGAGAATACAAAAAATGCTTCAAACAAACATGGGGAAGCAACATGTCAAAAGCAGCCGAGCCAAAAATTGCCGATTTTCGAGGTGAAGACTACACAAAAGTCACATTCTGTCCCGATTTAACCAAGTTCAAGATGGAAAAGTTGGATGATGACATCGTTGGCTTGATGTCTCGTCGTGCATACGATGTAAGTTTTGATAAAAATGCATTTGCTAAATGGAAATAAAAAAAAATATTGAAATTTAATTTATTGTAAAAAAAATTAGATTGCCGCATCATCACGTGGTGTCGCTGTATATTTGAATGGCGAAAAATTGCCAATTAAATCGTTCAAGGACTACATTGATTTGTACATCAAAGACAACGCCGATGATTCTGGCGCACCATTGAAGGTCGTTTATGAGAATGTCAACGACCGTTGGGAAGTTGCCATCGCACTTTCAGATCGTGGTTTTCAACAAGTATCGTTCGTCAATTCGATTGCAACGACAAAAGGTGGTCGACACGTTGACTACGTCACCGACATGATTGTCAAACAATTGATCGAAACACTGAAGAAGGTACAATTTGCTTGTTTGAAAACTAAATTCCGTTACATTTTTGCATGATTCAAATTTTTTCATGAGTTTGCTATTCTTCGAAATCCATTTGATAAAAAAAAATCGTTTCTCCTTTTATATAGAAAAATAAAGGCGGCGTAAGCATCAAACCATTCCAAGTGAAAAATCACATCTGGATATTCATCAATTGTTTGATTGTGAATCCAACATTCGATTCACAAACCAAAGAGAACATGACATTGCAGACCAAAAGTTTTGGTTCACAATGCAAATTTTCCGAAAAGTTTTTCACCGGCGTCTCGAAGAGCGGCATTCTTGAGTCGGTATTGTCATGGGCAAAGTTCAAAGCACAAAATGATTTGGCCAAAACGAGCGGAAAGAAGAATTCAAAATTGCGTGGCATTCCAAAATTGGAAGATGCCAACGATGCCGGTACAAAGAACTCATTGAGTTGTACGCTGATTTTGACGGAGGGAGACTCAGCCAAATCAATGGCTGTATCCGGTCTTGGTGTTGTCGGCCGTGATACATACGGTGTGTTCCCGTTGCGTGGTAAACTGTTGAATGTACGTGAAGCAACGCACAAGCAAATTTTGGAAAACGCCGAAATCAACAATCTCATCAAAATCATTGGTCTTCAGTACAAGAAGAAGTACCTTACCGTTGATGATTTGAAAACATTGCGTTACGGAAAGGTGATGGTGATGACTGATCAAGATCAAGACGGTTCGCATATCAAAGGTGAGTTGTGCTCGAATGGAATTGAAATAAATTTTCTTAAATACAATAGACGCTTCTATTCGAAGACATCCGGAGAAATAAATGTTTAAAAAGATGCCAAATGTAACTTTATCGCCAATATCTTGAATTCTTGTTTTAATTTTAAAGACTATTTTGGTTGTTTCGCTGCTGATTCATATTAAAAATGTCCATTTCCGAAATCCAATGACACAATGAATGCGATTTAGTAACAGTCTTTCTGAAATATTTTGGATAACTCATCATAAATATAAAGTCGATTTCAAAATGTGAGCTAGTTTTTGTTTTTAAAACAATACGCTTCGTTTTGGTTTATATATAAAACAAATAAAAATTTGTTGATAATCGCATCACAGTTCTTATTTTGATTTGTCGTCAAAATATATCGTTCCTTCAAATACAAGAAATACTCATGTAACATGTCCCTTTCTCGAGCTTCGAAGTCCGTCTATTGTAAAAAAATCGCAATGAACATGCTGAACATGCTGAACATGCAACTTAATTCAAATGTATTTTTTCTATTCCACGAATTTAGGTTTGCTCATTAATTTCGTGCATACAAATTGGCCCGAGCTCTTGCGTCTTCCATTCTTGGAAGAATTCATCACGCCCATCGTAAAAGTAAAGAAGAAGAACGAAGAGCTGTCATTCTATTCGTTGCCCGAGTTCGAAGAATGGAAAGCGGCCACCGCAAACCATCACACTTACAATGTCAAGTACTACAAAGGTTTGGGTACTTCGACGGCAATCGAAGCAAAGGAGTATTTCCAGAATATGGATCGTCATCGAATCCTCTTCAAATACGATGGCACACAAGACGACGAAAACATTGTCATGGCATTTGCAAAGAAAGCGGTTGATCAACGTAAAGAATGGCTCACAAACCACATGGCCGATTGCAAGCATCGCAAAGAATTGGGCTTACAAGAGCAATATCTGTACACAAAAACAACCAAACAGATTTCATACTCTGAGTTCATCAACTTGGAATTGGTTCTATTCTCAAACGCTGACAACGTTCGATCAATTCCATCGGTTGTCGATGGTTTAAAACCGGGTCAAAGAAAAGTTTTGTTCACTTGCATCAAACGTAATGACAAGCGTGAAGTGAAAGTTGCCCAATTGGCCGGTTCAGTGGCTGAACAATCGGCATACCATCATGGTGAACAGTCGCTTTGCATGACAATCGTCAATTTGGCACAAAATTTCGTCGGCAGCAACAACATCAATTTGCTCATGCCTAACGGTCAATTTGGTACACGATTGTCTGGCGGTAAAGACAGTGCAAGTCCTCGTTATATTTACACAATGATGTCACCGTTGACACGTTTAATTTTCCATCCACACGATGATCCATTGCTTCAGTATCAATTTGAAGACAATCAAAAAATTGAACCACTTTGGTACATTCCAATCATTCCAATGGTGTTGGTAAATGGATGCGAAGGTATTGGCACCGGGTGGTCGACGAAAATCCCAAATCATAATCCACGACAGATCATTCGTTGCCTACGACGTATGATTAACCATGATGAACCAGAAATTTTGCATCCATGGTACAAGAATTTCAAAGGATCGGTCGAAAAGGTCGGCGACACACGGTATTTCACAAACGGTAATGTTGCCATTGTTGAAGATGTCAAAATTGAAATCACCGAATTACCAATTGGTACATGGACTCAAACTTACAAGGAAAATATACTTGAACCATTGTTGCATGGAAATGAAAAGACCAAGCCAATCATTACCGATTACAAGGAATATCACACACATACCACGGTTCGATTTGTTGTCAGTTTCGCACCAGGTGAATTCCAACGTTTGGATTCTGAAGAAGGTGGTTTCCATAGGGTATTCAAACTCTCAGCGAGCATGTCAACAAACACAATGCACGCATTCGACAAGGACAATTGCTTACGCCGCTATGAAAAAGTCAATGAAATTCTAAACGAATTCTACACTCTTCGTTTGGAGTACTACATTAAGCGTAAAGACTATTTGGTTGGCATGTTGACAGCTGAAGCGGCCCGTTTGAGTGACCAAGCACGTTTCATCAGTGAAAAATGTGGTGGCACATTGGTCGTTGAGAACAAAAAACGCAAAACAATGATCGATGAACTCATCAAACGTGGCTATCGCGCTGATCCAGTGAAAGAATGGAAACGCAAAGTGAGCCTAGATGAAGAAGAGGTAAGGAATTGTTATGATTGTTTTTGTTTTTAATTTCAAGTTCGAAACAAAGTCAATATAAAATATATTTTCTGCTCAACAGGAAGCTCAGCAAGACAATGAAAATGAAGAAGAAGAGGAAGAGGAGCGTCCGGACAAAAAACCGAAGAAGCCCGTCGATCCAGAGAAAGCATTCCAAAACCTAACTGATGTGAAGAAGTTTGACTACCTTTTGGGTATGTCGATGTGGATGTTGACCGAAGAACGTAAAAATGAATTGCTCAAACAGCGTGACAACAAACTCTCCGAATTGAATGCTCTCAAAGCAAAAACACCAGAAAGTCTTTGGATGACCGATCTCGAGGCACTCGAAAAGAAATTAGACGAAGTCGAAGAGAAAGAGCGTCAAGAGGAACTGGGCGTCAATATGAAAACAGCAAAACAATTGGCTGCAAAGGCAACTACAGGTGGCAAACGTAAACGTGCTGGTGCCAAAGTTAACAATGAAATTTATCCAGACGCTGATGGTATCAAAGTGGAATTCAAGCTCACCGACGAAATCCTCAAAAAATACGAGAAAATGGCAGCGGCCGGTGCTCGTGCCAAGGCCAAGAAAGAAGCTGGCGCTGACGGTACTGTTGAATTGGATGAATTTGACAACTTGGTCAATAAAGTGAAGAAGGAACCAGGTAGGAATTGCTTAAATTACAAATCGAAATTCGGCTATTTGAATAAATGAAAATAAAATATAAACTTTTAAAAAACTAAAATAATTTAGCTGTGAAGAAAGAAAAGGCGCCAAAAGAACCGAAACCACCGAAAGAGCCAAAAGTGAAAAAAGAACCAAAGGCTAAAAAATCGGATGGTCTCAAGCAATCGAAGATAAGCTTCGGAAAGAAGGTAAGTTGAAGGACATGTTCCTAATTAACTCCATAAATAATTTTGTGAAAATTACAAAAACAAAATCGTTTTACTTTGCAGAAAAAGGGCAGTGACAGTGAAGAATCATTCGATGAAGATGATTTCGATAATAGCAGCACCACTTCACCACCAAAACGCGAAGGCTCGGGTCGTCGTGCTGCACAAAAGGTAATTTAAGTTTTATTTTAAAGTGGCTCAAACCCGGTTAACAATTTTTTTGTTATTTATGTAGAAGGTGAATTATGCCGCATTGAACGAGGGTAGTGATGATGATTCAAGTACCGGAATCGGACGAAAATCCAAGAAAAATCCATTCAGCAGTGACGAGGACGACGATTTACTCGACAACACTGGTATCAAAGAACAATCATTACATCAAGGCGGACTTGACGATAGTGCCGATCTATTTGATTCGCTAAAAGAAGAAGAGAGTCCCAAACCAAAGCCAAAACCACGAAAACTCGGTGCCAAAACCGAAGTCGTCAAAGATCCATCAGCAAAAGCACCAAAACGATCGAAAAAAGCTATTTCCGATGACGATTCACCAATTAAGGTAAGGCAACCTTTTTAAACAAGAAAATCTGAAAAAACACTACTTTTTTTGCATATAAAATCATGACCAATTCTAAATTAAAACGATCGCTTTCTATTTACAGAAGCCAGCCGCAAAGAAAAAGAAGAAGGTGGTGGTGAGCAGCGACGATGATGATAACGATTTCGTCGACGATGACTCTGATTCCGATTTCAACATGTAAATGGTCGATAAACTGCCATTCAACCACTACATGATTCAATTTTGACACACAAAACTATAAATTAAGTGAGCAAATGAAAAAAAAAAATCATATAGTACATGCACACAAACACATAATCCATTTAAAGAAAATGACTTTAATCTAATAGGATAGTTCGTTGGGTGTATGTGTAATATTCAGTTGCGATTTGGCTTAATCGTTCGCACTGATACACGCAGTAACAGAAAAATTAAAGAAAAAAAATCAGCGTTGAAAAAAATCTCTATTTAATAAGTTATAATTCGTCTTTAATACTTATAATTCGACTACAATTTTTACTACTTTTTCCACTATTTTATTTAATTCACATTCTGTTTCTGTTGCTTTATTCTGTTTGGTACACTATATAAGTTTCTAGTGTGACTTTAAAAAAAAGCCAAGAAAGATAAATTTTGATTTGGATTTTCTGTCATATTTAGTTCAATTATTTTTGAGTATTTTGTTTGTTTTTTTTTCACTCGAAATGTTTCAAATAAAAAGAAAATCATGTTCATTTTTCAATAAACTAAACGCTAAAAAAATATTCTTCAATTACATAAACATATTTTCATGAAAAATCATTAAAAAGATGGAGACTTTAGTTTAAGAATCATATGAAATGATATTACAATAAAAAAATCAACATGTGTTTTATTTACATTTTTCGTTTCGATTCACAGCTGAAAGAATGGAAAAGACAAATTGAATTTAAAAAAAAATTTGATTTTAACAGTTTTTGCTTATCTTTAAAACCATTCGTTACCGGCTTTTCTATTTGACATTTTGATGCATAGTTCAATCGTTAACCGATAGTTAGAGTTGCGACCGCATGCCAAACATAAACACACAATTTTGACAAGCGACTAATAATAAGTTTATTTTAATGGTATATTTTGGAGAACGCTAAGAAAAACTACCATCAATGAGTCACTTAACGGTTGAAAAAATGGATAAAATCAATTTTTTATTAACTGAAGTGTCTTTAGAGTGTTTGGGTAATAAATATTTCGATGTTTATGGTCAACAAACGAGCTCATTGCTGGGACTAATCGGTATAAACTCGATGCGACCGAGATCGACAAATGTAGATAATGAATCTGATTTATGGAAATCATTGGCAATCGATAATAGTAATCCGAGAAAAACTCCAAATTTGCCCACTGCATCATCGGTGACCAATAAAATAGACAAAAAACGTCGTGCTTCATTTTCAATGGAAGCAAACAATGAATCGGACACAAGCAATGATCCAGAATCGTTATTAGTTCCAATGGTATGTGCACCGAAAGCAGCCAAAATTGGTAATCGACGCTCAACCATCGCTGTTCAGAGAAAGTCAACGATTTCACCACAAAAAATTCGACAACGATCTAAATCAATTGGAGAAATCAAACAAGATCTGAGACGAGATATCAACAAACGTAAGTTTTACTGTTTGTTTTCCATTATTTTCATTTCAATAGAGAAGAAAAACTAAATAATTTTGATTTTTGATAGGATACAATTTGATGCATATGCTGTCCGCAACACAAGAAGAGAAATATCGTACAATGAACATCAATCCGAATATGGAAGATTTCTTTAAATCCGAAGAAAAAAGCCTCTTTTCACAGTGCAACACACTGATTAATTACATCAAATTCATACAGGCACACAATAATAATGCACCCAAACTTGCTAAGATCTCACAAGCAATAATTCAACTACAAAAGGAATACTAAATGTGATTAAATTCAATTTTCATTAGGGCTACCGAATTTTAGTTTTGTCAAAATCAATAAGGAAGATGTACATATGCAAAAACTAAACAAATAAACATAAAATGCGTTCTATTCCTACATTTTACATTTATATTTTATCTTCATTTTTATTAAGGCCAGTAATTTGCGTAGTTTCAAAACTAAGTTTCTGTTTGAGTAAAGAACTTTTAGCAATAAGTATATGAAATAAAAAAGGTAAATTAAAAAAATTAAATATGTTTCTGTGTCCTTTTTTAACATCATAATCGCTTCCGTTCGTTGTTGCTGATATAGGCCCTGACCATAATGGTCTGATCGAGATGAAATGATTATATCGCCATTTTTGTTACATTTTGAATATGTTAAAAAGACATTATCTGTCAAAAATGTGTCAGTCTTAACACATTTTCTTCAAGCATACCGCGTGCCGGTTATAGATAAAAGTGTTTTACCGTTTAATATCATTCAGTTTTTATTTTTGCGCAAATTAAAGTAAGGTCTAGAAAGTGGAAAAAATCCATAAATTACATTTTAAAATTAGTAAAACGAGATTAGAAAAAAGATAAATTCACTTAAAATGTCGAAGAATAAATTTAATTTGACAATACCACCATCGGATTCAACGATGTCGATGGATACACCTTTGAACATTCCATCTCAGTCACAAGTACCGATCAATAAAAACAGTTCTGATGAATATCCAACCATTGTTGGTGATTCGGAATCGTTTGAACCGAATGTGATGAATGTAAAAAACCAGTTTGATTCAAACATGTCAACACCGGCAAGTGTTCATTCGACCGAAATTCAATCGCAATCATTCCAAACACCGCCCGGCTTAATGTCCAAGAATGACTTTGGTCCTTCGGATCCGAAGCCGATGAATATTTCGCCGAAGCAATTGGAAAGATCAACGAGAGAAAATCAAACTTTAATGTACGAGAAGCCATCAATGGACATGTATGGGCAATCAAATGCGTTGAAAAATCAGAACAATTCACCATCACCTGGTTCATCGACCTCGATTAATTCACCAATTATTCCACCGCGATCATTTAAAAGACTACCCATCAGGAATCAATTTAATACGGCTCCAGTGATTGCTCCAAAACCTATGAACGTGACGCCGAAACCATTAGACAGAGCCACAATTGAAATGTTTGAGAGACCATCAATGCAAACCTATGGGAGAGATTATGGAAGTGCGTCAAATTTAATACTACCATCATCTGGTTCATCATCAACTTCGATTGATGCACCAAATCCATTGAATATTCCGCCGAGAACATTCCAAATGCGACCAAACACAATGCCGAAAAATAAACCAAATTTAACATTGCCATCGGCTCCAATAAATTCGCCGAATGTACAGTATGTTCCTCCAATGTATGAGTTGACCCCAATGATAGTGCCAAAGAATAAACTCAGCTTATCGTTGCCATCGGCTTCGGTAAACATATCAAAACCGATAGAAACTTCACCCTCACCATTTGAAACATCATCGGACTCAGAGTAAGTAAACAAACACCTGAATTTCCTTGATTGTTTTTATACTAATTTTTTGTTCTTTCCAGTTCAAGTTTGCTAAATCAGACGAAGAACAGTGTTGATTCGATGACGAAATTATTCGAAGAGCTCGATGTGGATGAGTATGCTCAAAATCGTTTGAAATTATTCTTGAAGCAACGCGAAGAAATTGGCGAAATTCGTGCAGATGATTTGGAAAAAATTGGCGAAATTGGTTCTGGAAATGGGGGTTCGGTGATGAAAGTGCGTCACATCCCAACGCAGTTGATAATGGCACAAAAAAACATTCATTTGGAAATCAAGCCAACGATTAGAAAACAAATTCTACGCGAATTGCAAGTGTTAAATCACTGCAATTATCCGCATATTGTTGGATTTCACAATGCATTTCAAGCTGGTAGTGAAATCAGTATTTGCATGGAATACATGGACGGTGGATCTTTGGATTTTATTTTAAAACGAGTTATACGCATTCCCGAACCAATTTTGGGAAAAATTACACTCGCTGTGCTCAAAGGATTGAGCTATTTACGCGATAAACATGCAATCATGCACAGAGATGTAAAACCCAGCAACATTCTCGTTAATAGTTGCGGTGAAATTAAACTTTGCGACTTTGGCGTATCTGGGCAATTGATCGACTCCATGGCAAATACTTTTGTCGGCACACGGAGTTACATGGCGGTAAGTTAACTATATTCAGATGGTTTCGACATTTATTTGAAAAATTAATTCGATTTGTTTTTATTCTGTTTATAGCCTGAGCGATTGTTGGGTGATCATTATTCGGTGCAGTCAGACATTTGGTCATTGGGTATGTCACTCATTGAAATGGCGATTGGAGTTTATCCGATACCACCACCAACTCGACAATTTATCGACGAAATTCTTAAGGACGATAAACCACCACCGCAACCAAAGATGGCCATTTTTGATCTTCTTGAATACGTTAGCAATCAACCGCCACCAAGATTAGAGCACGAATATTTTAGCAACGAATTCAGTCATTTCACCGAAAGTTGCTTGCAAAAGGATCCAAATGAACGTGCTAATCTTGCAACGCTTTTGGTAAGTCATTCATTTGGAATTTCAGTGAACTTAGACCTTTTCGATTCATTGAGATACAAATATCTAAATGCTTTTTTTATTCCTTTACAGAAACATCCTTGGATTAAGAAATACGAGAACCAACCGATTGATGTTGCTGGATGGGTTTGTACCGCAATGAACTTACCACCATCAACACCAACTTAAAGAAGAGTCTTTACTCAATAAAAATAATAATACAAAAAAAAATCTTTTTACAAATTTATTGGAGATCAAATGATCACATATTTCTAAAAACCATTGCCATATCTATAGAGTTTGAAAATATGAAATAAAACTAAACAAATAAACATACAATGCATTCTATTTCTACATGTGTTTTGCATATATTTTAATGTCATTTTTATTAAGGCCAGTTGCGTGGTTTCAAAACGAAGTTTCTGTTTGAGTAAAGAACTTGAAGCAATAAGTATATGAAATGTGAGTCACTGCAACTCATTAGTCTAAATCTATCAACATCACATATTTGGAATAATTCGCATTATTTTGTGATGATTTTAACTCGAAAAGAATGTCTTTGGTCATGTTTCAATCCAGACTTGGAATTTGGAATATACTTAAGCTATAACTTTCTTATTTGTTGAGTTGAACTTTACAGTAGTAAATATATCTAAATTCAATGCTAATCACGATAGAAAAGTATAATTACAGATAACTCGTCGAAAAATAAAAAATATCGAATTATGAATAAAATATAAAAGGTAATTTTTTCTTGAAATGATACCTACTTGCTATACAAGCCGTTTTCAAGCGGCCGATATGTTCAAAATTTTGGTAGAGTTTTCTAAGAACACAGGTGTAATATCGAGAGCAGGTAATAATTTATAGGACCCTTTTGTTTTTTTACTTTTCTAGGCAATGTTTTCTGTCAGACATTTAAAAATGGTTTTGCTCAGCAATATTTTCCTATTGTTTGACAAAAAAATTTCCAGGAAAAATATATATATAAGATAATCTATCCAAAATAAAGATAAAGCTTACAAAATAAAGCTAACAAAAATGAATGATGATTGCACTGCGCAGTGCGTACTACCAATTTTTTGGCGAAAATATGCTTCAATAGAAATTAAATCTAATCCGGCAGCCTCAATATGGACCAAACTATTTTGAAGACAATTTTACATGTATTTATATTCGCAAAAGTCCATTTGTACCAATGTATGTTTGCGGATATGAATAGTATTTAGTTTATTAAATACATATAAAATTGTTTTCTTTTTTAGTTATATGTTGATTTTGGTTGAGAACAAGTGCGCGAGTGTAACGTTGTTTCCAATTTTTCAAAAATCGACATTTTTGGATTTTTTCATTGTTCGGGGTAAGTGTAATTTTTTTTCGAAATTTGGCTTTTTTTTAAATGACAATATCAAAACCCGCCAAAATTGTGTCAAGCCTAGCTACGCTAACTAATCGTTATAATATTTGTTTTATCTAATAATTTATGGATTCAATGCTGCTTGTCAGTTGACGTTTTTTGCATTCGGTGGTCTTCTCAACGAATCAGACACTAGTACGCCAAACATCCGACAAAGTCCTATGTAATTTGAAGCAAAAACTTAAAACAATGAATAGACTTTATTTTCAATTGATTCATATCTTTGAGCATAATGCATTTTACAGCAAAAATATCGCGGTCAATGCGAAGAGGCATGATTGAAATGCGAATGCTTCGTGCCACCATAGAAAATTTCGCTTGTTTGTTGCATACAATAGAGAAATGCGCGGTATTGTCTGCTGTATTATAAATGGATAAGTTTAATGCTGATAAGCCGTTTCAAACATCAAACGTTTAAATTTTCAGTGACGGTTTTTGGTTTGACTGTAAAAATTTGGCATCATCTAAAATGTATAATGGTTTTTTTAAAACGAAAACATCAAAGAAATAAATTATTTTATTCACTTTTAACGAAAAATATAATATTTTCTTTGGCTGTGAACATTTTCTGTTGGTTCATTAGAAACAGTTTTATGTTGCATCGCAGCAACCGTATTCAGCACATTGACATTTCGAATTTGGATGTACATGCATCTCTTTTGCCATCTGTCAGTTTGTCTCTTTCGTCTTTCGTTTGCAATTTTTGTGTGTGCTGTGTTTATCAAGTTTGACAACAAAAGAAAAAAATAAATAGTATTCTTGTTTCTCGACGAGACGAAAGAGATAGACAGAGAAAACAAGAAAGATAGAAGAAAACTATTAGAAAAAATACGAAAAAAGCGAATCTATCCCGAAAATGGACCGAAATAACATGAGGTATTTTATTCATGTTTAATTTTTATTGCCTGCGTTTGCATTTGCATTTACGATTATCGTCGTTTACTTAATGTATTTTATTATAACATCGCCTACTGTGATTACATTGTCTGAATTGCAATTTTTGTCGCAAATTCTGTGCACAGCAATAAACAGTCAGTTTATCAACTGAAAGCGACCCATTTACATTGCAAAAAAAAAATCAATAGAAAACGAAACATTTTGTTGCGCTAAATTGAAAATCAAAAAAACTTTCTCTCGCAGAAATCAAAATTCAATGCCAAGTGGACTGCCAAAACGACCACCAATGCCTTATCTGGCACAACAACATGATGAACTGATCAGATACATTCACGATGCATGGCACAAGGTAAGAACAATTTGGATTTTCAGTTGAATTTCACAAAGATGATTCATTGTTTTCGATTTGTCACAACTGAACGGTAACAGATAACAGAACCAGGCCAACACGGTACTCCAACATTCTATCGGAATCCACCAGAACAGCGATTGAATAATTTCCAACCTTTTGACTTGGAGAAGTGGTGGTATGTGTTTCGCTTTGCAATCATTTCAGAATTAATTGCTATGAAAATTGATTATTTTACAATATTGTCTGTGTTTTTTTTTCGTATTTCGCTATTCCAGGGGACACAGAGCCGTTCAAAACTATCACAATATGTCACGAGGACACCAATAAAAATATTCCAAAACATCACATACAGACAACACACAAACACACATTCTTCAGTATATAAATATGTAAAAGAACAACTGCATAAATAGGAAGTTGATTCCTATTTGCATGGATTCCGTTCGAGAGACAGATTTTTTTTCTTGTCGTAACATTTCGTTATATTTTCGTACAAAACGCGCCACGATTTATATACATAACACACATTTTGATGTTTCTTTTTTGCTATTATTATTGAAAAACAAATGAAAATTTTCGTCGCGAATCGGCGACGAAACATGCAAAGCAATTTGTAAAGTATTGACGATAGTTTGTCATAAGTAAAAACAAAAAGAAACAATGATTCGGGGTGAAAAACAATTATTATTCCATTTTCCAATATATTTATTTCCAATTGTTCGTCCACAACACAATTCAATAATTAACAAGATATAAACATAACAAATACACCGCGATGATTTGTTTTTTTAGCCTGAATTCGGCCCAAATTCAGCGTCAACTCTAATTAATGTGAGTTTAATGTGAGGAGAAGAATAAATGAAAACAAATCGAACAAATTTTAGATTATTACCACGACACTATACTTTTCGGCGATTTATTTTTCTATTCAAAATAATCTATATGAATCTATTTTAGTAAATGAGAAGAAGAAAAATATGAAACAGAAATGATGAATCAATGGAACATCCGTAACGAATCAGAAATAGATAACTGTGTTATGTGAAAGTTATTTAAATTAAAACAAAAAACAAAGAAAATAATGATAAATAAGAAAAAGAAAATGAATCGACGTGAGAAGCGTGAAAAAAATAAGAAATAAAAAAAATTCCCTCTATTTAAAAAAGATTTTTGGTTTGGCATTTTCATTTTTTATTCATTCGTTGGGGAAAAAATTGGTTGCAAGTGCGGTGTTGAGGTGTCGTATACACATACACACCGATGATGCCATCCTCCCTTGACAGCCATTGAACGCACATTTCACACAGCTGAACTGTCACAGTTTGCTGTTGTACATTCTGGCGCGATTCTCATCCAATGCTGACTTGCTGAATTTGAATGGTTTTTGTTTTGTTTCTAACCAATAAAATTTTATGTGTACCGAATTACATACGTCAAATTGTGCAACAAACATACCGACACACATTTTTTTAAATCTGTACTATTCGTTCATACACTAGGTGCACATATTTTATACGTCGTATTTGAAGCACATCATCATTTTATTAAATATTGTCCAATCCGAATAAATATTTCGTATTTGTTTACATTTATATTTTACTCTTTAATTACTCTTTATTTTAAGTTATTTTTCGAACAATTGACATACTTCCGAAACTTTGATTATTTGAGAAATTGCAAACATTTTCAGTTGTATATACAATTATTACCATCACCAGTCTATGTATTTCGGATGGATATCCGAGATATCTTAGAATATTTGAATATTCAACGCAACTGCACAGAGCCAGAGTTGTGTGCGTCGCACATACAGGGTGGCGCATATAATGAGCTCACTCTTAGGGAGTGGGAATTTTGAAAAACCCTTTGGAGGGTATGTTGGGGGTAATAAATGAAAAAATCTTGAGGGTTTTTGACCCACGACCCCCTTAAGCGGTGGGAAGACTTGGAGGGCAGGGATCCTAAATAATTTCTCACGTCATTCTGAACAATTTTGTAATACATTATTTTGTGATCGGATGAACTTTTGTAAAATCGGGGGCACCCCCCTGGGGAAAAATTCTGCTCAGATAGAAATTTTCTATTTATTACCCCCAATATACCCCCCAAAGGGTTTTTCGAAATGCCCACCCCCTAAGAGTGAGCCTATTATATGCGCCACCCTGTATAATCTACGGTATGTCGCTACACGAAAAATACAGACTGTATGAGTGCGACACTTGATACACATATACGTAGCGACATACCGTAGATTCTATTTGCGTCGCACACAGCTCTGGCGCTGTGCAGTTGCGTTGAATATTCAAATATTCTAAAATATCTCGGATGGATATCCATCCGAAATACATAGACTGACCATCACCCTATGAAAATGCTGTTTTAATCATGTTGCTTTTAGTTCTTTCTTATAGTCGGTTATTTTGCCAAAGCTTCTAAGCAGCTATTAGCCTCTTCAAAAAGAGAACGTGATAACAATTAAAATAAAAAAATACATATGTTTCTGCAGCAATACGATTTCTGCAGCAAGGAACAATTTAAAATAAAACATTTTAATGTTTCGTGTGAGTTAAACAAACAAAATCAAAAAATCTTCAAAAAGAAATTGAACTTTACTTCCTCCACCTTATTTAAAAAAAAAAAGTCGACGTTTTACATATAAATCAACTTTATACCAACACTCATTAGCTTCTTCCATAACTTTGTTTCTCTCCATGAATGAATGTAAATAGAACATTTTTGCCTCATATGTGAAAAATTTCTTCATGTTTTCAATGTGACTGTGAAAATTAATGCTCAGTCACTGAATAAGCAGCATATGCGTCCGATTTGAATGCATGACTTTATTTTCCATTCTTCCTACTAAGAATATACTCTAATACTCCAAATAAAAAGTCGTTGTTATGTAGCTAAATCTTTTCCTAATTCCCGAAAATTCATTACACTCTCGATTCATCAGGAAGTACGTATTTTTTCCGTTTCGTAAATTGTGTCAAAGATAAAGTTTTTTTACTGCCACCAAGCAAGATAAACAAAAGCCACATGCATAAACATATCGCTAAAATAATCAAATTCACTTTGTGAACTTCGGTATACAAAACAGCGGCTTTGAAAAAGTTGAAAAAAAATTCACGGTTGACATGGCGTAACACCTGACATCTGACATGTTACACACAATCGGATGTGATATCGCTCAAGTGGTGTAGATTTCATTTCATGGTAAAAATAAAAATTGACCGCGGGAAAAATCTTCTTTGCTACCGGCTTGAATAAAATCAACCGTTTTGCACACTGTGTCTGTGTCTATTTCTCCATGTGGATGGGAGAAGTACTGGCGCATTCGATCCACACTGAATCGAATGATTCTTTTCGCTGCAATTGCTCTTCGCGTAATCGGGTGGGGGAAACAGATCAGTGACAAACGACCGTTCGAGGCGATAACATCAAAATTACTCCATTTTATCACTATCCCATATTACTGTAACAGTTTACGATTGTTTGTAGTTAAGTAAGATATAAAATACCAACAGTAAAACGAAACTTCTCGTTCTAATACATTCAAATGGTCTTTAATGTCAAACTTAAATTGAATGATTGAATGTACGGAATGTAAATTAATTAATAGATTTACTAGAACCACAAATCTTCTGTAACATTATATCAAATTCACTACACGAGCTAAGTTGAATTCTCTGACATTTGCAAAATAATTGACCAAACAATGGAAATTCCTTTGATTTTGAAATTTCAACCCATTAAACTGTGTGACACTCAATATGCCAATACAACAAAGTAATTTATCATATGTATTAATTTGTAGCGACGACTTTGAACTGTATCACATACAATCTAAGTGTTTGTATTGCCAACTCGACGTTTAGAGCACGCTGAATGATGTTGGAGCTATGTTATGTCTGCGAAAAAACTTTTCGAAAACAGATTGTTTGCAAAATTACTTTGGAAAGAGATAACCAAACGGCATAATGAAACCTTGCAGCTCTACTAAAAGATGAAAATAATCCTAGTCGCATTTTGTGCGCAAGACACAATTCAGAATTGAAGATTGCAAATAATAATAATTATATGTAAATCAAACAATCAAACTGTGTAGTCTCCAACTGAATCTTGAATGCATCACATATGAATTTTCGAATTTGATGAGCTCTTTTTTTTAATTATCCATTCCATTGATTATTTTCCTCTGTGAGTATGGGATCGTTTCAGAGAATTCATTTTCGTCTCTCTCTCTCGGTGAGTGGGAGAGCTCATGAGATTAATGGTTGAACAATTCGATTTTACGTCGTAGCCACCTGTGACCTGAATTTTTAACAAGTGCAACTTATATGCGTCGACATTGGTTCGTTCACAAGAAATGCCATTCACCAATCCAATTGTACACTCAAAATTTTCAATTTATATGCAACGTTCTCTCATCTTAATGTTAAAATGAATACAAATCCAACATATTTCCTTTCTCTTTCACTCTACGTGTGTTTCTATCGTTCTCCAGGTTGTACATCTTCTCGAATGAATGTTTTATGTTTAAGGCAAAAATGTGGTTCCAATACATTCTCTATTCTCTGTTGTTGTGTACTTAAAAGGATTTTAAATTTTTTAACAAGTTTGCGTCGTTTATTCGCATTTAACATCAAATGTCCTCTAGTATCATTGTACGGCTTCTCGTTTACATGAAACGCAAACAAAAAGCAAAAACATCAAACTAAAATGTAATTAAACGCTTGAAAGCTTCCCATTTACTAATCACCGGTAATGTGCGAAAAAAAAACTGCACGAAGAATAGAAATGTTAGCCGATTGCATTTCATTATCCGTGGTCTATATCGTGAGCAAGTAATCGCACGCTCACCAAACATTCCATCACACAATTAGTTTGGAATAAATCAATCAAAGTGAGACAAATGGCCAATACAAACGAGATTTATTTTTCAATTCGTAGATAAATCGTATTCACAATATGCGTTCATCAATACGCAAAAAGCAAATAGAGCAAGAATTGGAGAATACCATTGGCTTTTGTGTTTGCTACTTTTTATTGCGTCGTCTAACACGCTGACACGGGTACAATGAACGAGCGCAAAATGACTTTGTTTTGACTAGCGCGTAAAATTCATTTTCTATGACATAAATTGAATCGTTGCGGCGAAAGAGTAGCTCTTATTTTTCTCCAAATAATACTACAACATACATTTTTTATGAATAGTTTATTTGTTGTATTACAACAAATAAACCGTGTGAAAAAAACTTCATGTTGCAGTATTATTTGGAGAAAAATAAGAGCTACTGTTTCGCCGCAACGATTCAATTTATCCTTACATATTCTGCTTTTTTACAGAAAAATAAAGGAAATGCAAACGGAAAAAATAGTTGGCGTAAATGTGAACATGTCTTTTGGAACAAAAAAAAAATATGATTCTCAAAATGACAACGGATTACTACTTTTAAAAAGCATATACGTTTTGAAATGCATATGTTTTTATTTCCGCTCTGAAGCATATCATATCAAGTTCACAAGGCATAAAAATACTGAATAATGTGATACACACATACAAACAGACTTGGATATATATGTACCATTATTATCATTGACGGAAATTGATATTTACCTTTTTGTTAAGATATAGAAAGAGAATGAATGTTCTTTCTCATTATATAGGGTTTCTGCTGAAGTGAACTTCAAGTAATCAAGAGAGATAGAGAGAGAAAGCGTAGAAATAAAATGAGCAAAATGAGAGAAATAAATTCAATATGCATGTATTACATGAAATAGTGAAATACAATAATAAAACATTTAGTTGATAGAAAACCATTGTTGGAAATTGATGTATTTTCGTTTATTTGTAAACACATCAAAAATGTATTGA